CTGGGTTTCAACACTATACTACACAGGACATTCACTGATAAACCAGAATGTAACTGTCATATCCTAGCTCCTGGCAGGAATATATGACTCACAACCAAACATTACAAAATTATCCACAAATTGCGCTAGTATCACACCATAAAAACCATAAAATCAACTTACCTTTACAAGATGCCAAAAAATGATGTTCCCGTAACAGTTGCATTTTGGTTCATCAATGAATGCATACACACATAAATGCTGCATAGCATTTGAGGTTCTCATGGTAGTCAGCATGAAGATGGCTGCCTTCTGGGCCGTAGAACCATGTAGTCTGGCAGAAGTTTACCAGTGTTTCAGAGGTTGACCTGATGATGGTAGCAGCAAGAACCTCTGATATGCAGGTAATCATCCACCAGATTACATGGTGCTACAGCCCAGAAAACAGCCATCTTTGCAGAGATGCTTTACTTCCAAGACTATGCTTCTCCCAAAAGCACTTTAAAATCTCGTAAAACCCAGGAGCAACATGTCACACCTGCTTCAACAATCATTAACCCTTCAATTTGTATTTAAGCGTTTTGTTAAGATTCCCAGTATAAACAGCCATTATATCCTTGAACAGCACTAAGAAGCTAACATTTGTAACAAAGTATGTTCTCTTTGAGGAACAGACTGAATTTGTAAACATCATTTACACAAGCTTCAGTCTCAAAGAGTTAATACATCCATTTAATTTGTTATATTTTGCTATGTTTCCATCTAATTCCATATTTATGACCTAATTCAGTTTATCTTATGGTCCAAACATTTCAATTCAGACACCAATGCAGGCAACAATTTACTGACAACCTCAGTGACTATTTGTTTTACAAGAAGGGGCTCTGTTCCATGGAGTTAATTACATGCATTAGTAATAATTAAGATCTTCAGTTTTCACTTGCACTGCAGTGTAATATGAAAGCTTATAGGATTAAGTTCTGAAGAAAACTCAATAACTCAATTCCTGATTTACCAGTCTGTAACAGCAAGACTTCCCATTTAATTCAGAGTGTCATAATACCAACCCCCACTCACACAGCAAATTGTCAATCAATTATCCGACAACTGTTAACACAGTGGCCCTTTGTCCCACAGCCATTTAGATATGGTCACCATGGCATATAACATGGCACTTTCTAGAAATAACTCCATTCAGCATACAAATTATGTCTGATTCGTATGGTCAAAAGTGGCCAAAATGGAAATATCATAAAACCTTCCCTCCTGTATTTAAAACACATCAAATGAAACGAAACAAAGTTTAAACAATCAGTTCAAAATATTATCAACTCCAACACAACTGAAAGTGAATTTAGATCTGATCATCTCAGACTGTGAAGAAATTTGGTATTCATCTCTGCTTTTTTCTCAATTATGTTAAGCGGTTTTTCAAATTTAGGTTTCTAAAAAACTCTCCCCTCCAGTATAAAAAAGGTATGTGCAAACTTTTTCTTTAAAGACTCCTTTCACATTGAGAACAGTGATGCATTCTGCAGCTCACTGTGAAGCTTATGAAATGTTCTTTCTAACCCAAACATAAATAAACCTCACAACATGTAAAGCTTAATAAACTTTGAAAATTAACTGCAGAAATGTTGCATCTGGGATTTCTTTGAAACTTGTCAAAAGTGTCAGCCACAAAGTATGCTAAAAATAATTCTGGAACTACAAAATCTTAGAAAGCTGTTAAAGTTTTGTAAAGAACTTTCACATTTTTACAGGTTTTACATTACACAGTATTTATTTATTTATTTATTTAGTGTTCTGTCTGATGACAGGTCCATATGAACAGGATCCTTCCATCCTTTTCTCGGACTGGGACCTGTTCATATACGTTCTTGCCAGATGATTCAGAAGTGGTTTGCCATTGCCTTCTTCTGTGTGTGAATGGAGTAATTGTTGGGATGCCACGGAGAAACCGGGGAAGCCCCCGGAGGAAAACTCCGTGTTGCCTAGACCACGGCCTTGCCCAACACAAGTTATAAATTCGGGCACCGCCGGGAATCAAACCTGAGACCCCAGGATTACAAGGCCAGCGTTCTAACCGCTAGACCACCGCGGCGGTACTGTACAGTACTGTACATAAATGTAACCGAGCAGTGGCCACCTTATACAAAAACTAATTATGCAATAATTAAGGTTCAACAAACAGGAGACATATAACCTTTATATCTTGAAGTGATTTAAATCCAAAAACATACAAAAGTGTTTAACAAAATATGTTTGCTACAATGAAGGTTCAAAGTTCAGGAGATGTACAACATTATTACCTTCAAGTGATTTATATCCCAAAACATATAAGTGTCTTCAATGGAAGTACAAGACTTTTTAGTGCCCCATTGGATTTCATAATGGTTCAAGTATAAAAAATCACTTAGAAAACTAATGTCACTTGTGAAAAAAATGCCTAGAATGCAGGATTAGTTATCTGTTGTGTGCATTATGGGACTTCTGTACTTCAGTGTTACTGTCAGATACAGAAACAGGCAAAGACAAGATGTGGTTCACTGAAAGAGTTTGTTCATCTAGCAGAACAGTGTGTGTGAAAGATGTCACTGATCCATGTAAATGTTTGAGTTGAATGCGGATTTTTCCAGTCGCTTCAAATGATTCCATTACATATCCACCAGCGACTGTCATACAGTGCAGTAACATAACCAATGACTGTGCAGAAGGGAATGTTTTGGAACTGCCTGTGTCTTGAAATATTCACAATTTGTCCACTTAAAAGTCTGAGAGTGTTCTGTCATTGTCAAAGAAATCCCAGTAAAGGGAATGAATGCATGATAACTGTAGGTGAACACTGTAGGCTGCGCTACATAAAATCTGGTATCTTCAACTACACTCAATTTAAAATACCTAAAATGGACAGATTTGTAATTTTCCTATGCCCATGAATAAATACCTAAGACAGTCGGTATTTGATTTTCCTGCAAACTTTGTACATTTGCACATGTTGCCAGATGCTTGATGCTACCATCACATCGTTCATTCCTGTCTGAGGTGACAAAGAAGTTCCATTCTGCTTCCATTACAAAATCAGTTCATGTGAATAAAGGTATATAAAGTTTCTCATTGTGCCCCAAGAACAAACTAAAACTATCTTTTAAATTTCACACAATCTCTTTTAGATGTGAAATTAAGCTCTCTTAAAATGTATATATGGCAGCAAAGTCATGGGCCAAACTAAATAATAATAATAGAATAAATAGCATAGCACAGGTGTAGTAATTTGCATTCAAATTTTTCAAACACCAAACAAATGGATGTACTGAGGCTTGCTGATTGTTCTAGAGTGGCTCGTGAGATGCATCTTGCACAATAAATTAATAATTTTCAGCAAAGACACCTACAACTACTATTTATCCATCTTTCAAGCGATATTTTCTTTTAGTACTCGATTGCTTGTCAGCCACATAATCACGCATTTGCAGTTTTATAAGTTTTTTGATGACTATGTAAACAAATTCTTCAAATGAAGAGTTAACAGTCTCAAGAATACATCTCTATTGTTACACACTATTTATATGTGACTACAACAATATTAGACACTTCCTGTAACTATGCATCTTCTTCACAAAGTTCATTTCAACTTCCAAAGTTCTTGAAGTACTAGCATATTTTTTGCATACAATGAGAGGGGTACATGGCTGACATATGTGACAAGTCTCAAACAAATACCAACGCTATTTTAATGCAACCGATTTGCACATGTAACCACTTTGAGATTTGGAGCTCTACACATTGTGATACATATTTGGGTAAAGTTATAAAGAAAATTTAATAAGCTTTACAATGAGCTCTTCAATATTTCTCAAAGTGCATTATCAAAGCAATTGTTGAAGCAAAACCTCACACACACACACCATCTCTACCTCAGTGGGTTTATTAATGCCCAGTATCTCAAAAACCACATGACAAATTGAAAGAGAAGAGACAAAGATGGCTGATAATAAGACTAGACTTGAAGGTTCAATACCTGTTGGTTTTCCATGGAATGAATAAACATTAAACTATTATACAAGATGGCCAGACAAAGAAAACAGTCACAGACTGTCTAGGTATTGCAATGAAAACTTATCAAACAATAAGTCACAGATGTCTCCTGATAATCCTACTTCCCTCACTTATGAAACCCCATCTATGGTGCAGCTTGTCTGCAGTTCTCTGCTAAATGCAAGTTAAAAGTATATTACTTGAATAGAAGTACTGCAAAGAAATCATAGACCCAATTAAATAATTCTAATGGCAATATTACATGTCTTTTCTTTTTCCTTCACAACACATTTATCAAAAACCTTAATGCTTGTATGAGAACATACATGTTGTACCTGTATGACACAATGTATCAGGATTAAAACATTTTATGATCCCTTATACCATTATAAACACTGGTTACCACTTACATGACTACAAACAAACTGAATCCCAGATCACAATCAAAATTTCCACTACCAAGAAAATCTCATATTATTAACACCTAATTCAATTTCAGCATCCTTCCCACTGTATGGAAGCACTCTAAAAAGGATGTATCAAAAGAAGTAAAATATTCTGAATTCAATATAGAGAAAAATGCACTAATTCAAAATGTCAAAACAACACCTCTAAATATTCTCTATATTCTTGGTAAAATATTAATTTGATACTGGAAGCCAAAAGATGAATTCATCGCGGGTTCCTGGTGTCAAAGGGATTTAAAACTGAAAACAAAAAAGACAAACAGGCAAGAGAATGGACATTACTGATAGGAGAAAAAAATCAATAGTGATGAAATGGCAGGCATATCAGATACCACGTTCTTGTCGAGGTGCATTCAAACACCTTTATTAAATACATAACCAGACTTTAATGTCATTCGACATGTCAATGTCACAAAGACTGACACTGGCCTTGGCCTAATTGTCAAGTACTAGAGTGTAAGGTCAGGTCCTAAAATTTGAATCGACATTTATATAATAAACATGAAATGTACTCACCCCATAAACCAATCCACGGTATCGCGGAGATATTCAGGTAGCCTATCCAGCTTGAAAGATTATTTAAGTATCAACACAAACAGATTACACTTTAATAATTTTGACTAGATTCCTCACAACTACTCACACAAACATCAAACATGGCGACTTAAACTTCACGAACCAACTGTCCCACAATGCAATTTTAAAACACATACAGCGCATGGGCACCCATCTACAGAAAAACATTAGGGATAATCTTTGGTAGGGGTAATATTACTATGCTTCTTCCCCTCTTGACATCAGAGAGTGCATTTCACAAATGTTGCCACAAAGAGAAACGAACTTATAATAACGTTCACTTTAATTCATCTGTGGCTATTCTTACATTGAACCTATGTGAAGGTACCACAGAAATTAAAAATATCACTCCTCCCACCAAAAGTTATCTCACATAAATAAAGCAGGAAAGGGTACTCCGTACTGGAATACACAGAAATTCCTAATGCGTTCTTTGCACCAGACATTTAGAAGCAGCTCTAGCCATTACACTTTCCAACCATGGCAAATTAACTCTAGCTGTTTGACCTAAGTTAAATTACCTAACAATGTTTATCCCTAACCTTTGTAACTCAAACAAGAAACTTAACCTTACTTAACATCATTAAAACTAACCTGTCCTATTACAATTTACTTAACCTAACCGAAAGAAACGTATTTCAACATTTATCCCAATCTAAACATCTTTAAACGAAAACAAACCAACCTAACCAAACATGTGTTCACTTTCCTCCAACGGACATAACAGCCTAACCTAACGTGTCCTAACCTGTCCCCCTCAAGAAATCCTGGCAACACTCGAACACTTGGGCTGCTTCCTGTTTGAATTAATACGAAAGTAACGACAAAGACTCAAAGAACGCACTACAATAATTGTCTATGATAACTACTGTAACAAATTTCCACTATGTTCATCACTCTCCATTCCATCAATACGAACCACGATTCGATAGCAACCACGCTAAACATTCAAAATACGCACGAGTTGTTGCCAATAGAAATTCCGGCTATAACCACCAGATCGTAGCACACACCATACCATCTTCCTCATTCATCACTTTGTTAAGTCCATTGGACATTCAAAGGTACAATTTTGAGATCGTGCAGAAGGGAACAACCGCCACACTAAATTTAATCCAAATCCATCCAGTGGTTGTCGAGTTGAATCGACTCGACGATTACAAACGCCTTCTCGTTGTGCACTTCTTCCAATTAGAGGATAACTGTGGATCCAGCGATGAACTACATTAATATAGTGTGGTTATTGTAAGAATGTGAATATTCGGTTTCCAGAAACACATTTTTCCATTAAACATATTAGCAAATATTTTAAAACAATTCTTAATACAACGTTTCACCTACATACATATCTAGTAATTTAACACTTTAGCTCACACATTACAAAAACACACCTGTACTCACTGAAGTGCGGTGAAATATTTTAACAATTTTAACTAGTTCAAAACAAAAACATGTAACATATAATTTTATAATTATTTATCGCACTGGGAGAATTGGAAATAATGATAAACCCAATGCAATGACTTCAAACATGTATTTGAACTTGATGGGCTGGAATATACTGTTCAAGAGAATAGACTGTGAACTGACAGAAATAAACAAGAATCAACATAATGCATTGTGGTGCTACACTACAGGTTTGCAGGGGCTCTGCCTTTTAGATCTCATACACATGAACAGATTTTCAGCCCTTCACAGAATCAGGATGTCATTGTCTATGTAATGACAACTGGGAATCAGTATTAAACAACCAAAATGAAGGTTCAATATTTAACACCATCCTAAACATTTAAAGAAAAGAGGCCATACATACACATTACAACAAACAGATACTAGTCAAATAACAAAATAGTCTGGAAAATAGCAAAAAGGAGAACATAAAAAGTATTCTACAGATGTGACCCCCATTTATGAAGGTAAAAGAAAATACAATAACAAATCATTTCATTACTTATTAATAATTACAGAAATAACAATGACAGTAGAACCATAACAACAGAAGATACAACAGAGTACCTTACTCAGGCAATCCCTAGAAACTACTTATGCCCACAACAGTATATTAAATTAAAAGTAAAATAAATTCTCTCAAATAAAAGAAATCATGTAGTTATAAAATATCAAGAAATTTACTTGAAAGCTCCCGGCTAATCAGACTCAACAATAACAAAACATCACAAAAACTTGCTCGGCACATGTGTACACCAACAATGAATGAAAATTCAAACATATTGTGCAGAAACATTGCAAGGTTGCCATTACTGGTTAGTTTTGTATTATTTTCAAATACTAAATTGGTTGCATAACACTTGTCTAAAATAAACCTGTCAAGGGCATGTGATGAAAAATGCTTTTATACCAGATCCATAACAGATACAAGAAATTATTCCTGTTTTTATAGACCAATGCTTAGATCAGTTTCCTAACAATGCATTAGAATTTATTAGACACACACACTTGTTCTCGAGTTTCAAACTTTAACTCGGCCTTCTTCTACTGCTTTATTTTTTAATTTTGTTCCATTTTTAATTTTCAGGGCCCAAGGTGATGCTCTGCATAAAATATTTCATACATCACATTGATGCATGGTAGCCCCATTCTAAGGATAACCCTTATTACATTAATCAATTGTTAACTTTTTTACTTCCCAGTGACAGAGCCTTTCTTTTATGCAAATATGCTGCAATTTTTTTTGTAATTGGTGTTAAAACTCTTGATAAAATGTAGTTGAATGTTGCAACAAACACGTAAAAAAAACCAATTACTGCACTTCGGTATCATGTGCACTTATTCCTTCTTTTAACAATTCTGTTAGTAATTGTGGATTACCTTTAAGGTACAACCTGCCAACTATTGCAGCCAATGCCATTCCATGTACAATATTTACTAAATGCTTGCCAATGTGGCCTTTCATCCAAATTTTCTTGTATTGATGAATAGCACATAAAGTTACATGTGATACTTGTGACGGGAGTAAAAATAAAACTAGTAATGTGGCAGATATTTAATAAATTACACTAAGGCATTTATTTATGATATATAAGACAATACAGACATGACCACACTACTTACAATTCATGGTTAATGTATATTAATATAACATTTTAAACAATAATAAAAATGAGTCACAAAAATTCATGGTAGAGATACCTAACCCCTTGACGTTCAAGATTATAATTAGAATAAATGGATAATTGGTTACAATACCAAGAGCATATATCACTTTCTTATGAAACTGCTGAATTTCAACATGGTGTTAGAAATAAGCCCTTGCACATAATTTAAAAGGGGCCTTAGTAACTACATGGGAGCCAAATGAAAAAATAATTAAGCCAGCAATAAAATGGGAGCATATTTTAACAGTAGACTTGTAGAAAATAAACATACAAAAAAGAAAATACAAACAAAAATAGGGGGATAGGACCCAAGTAGAATTTTTCAATTTGATACTTTCAGCCATGCAATCTTGCTCAACAACATTCATCTGAAACCGAACCACTCGTACACCAACCGTTCAAGACGTCAGAAAACCAGTGATGTAAGAAAACACAAACGTAAAGTTCAACAATGTGAAGAGTGCTAATAAAAATTGAAATATCTGACCCTTCAACAAGTGTGCAGGGTAACATTTCTTTTTTACAATTTTCATTTTATGCTGGTACTTGTGGGTGTGTTATCATTCTGCTGGGTGCTGCACCAATACCATTCTAAGTCACTGTCACTTTCACCATCTCCACACAAAACCACTCTACTATAAAAAGATACCTCCTTAACCCCCCTCTTTAGATCTTACAGATAAAATGCTTCGAAGAGTTTATCCTTGCGCCTCCAGAGTTAAAACATCGCTTTACCTACATATTACTGTCCTTATCACTGTTCAAAAGCATGCAGCAGTTAATTATCTCCATCTTCCTCCTCTTCTTCCTCTGACTCTGCTTCAGCCAACCACATCAGCCACTGGTTTACCTGCAACAACCAAATAAAGTTCATACTTTGCTCACGCTGGACTGTATTACCAGTAACACACCGAAGCTGCTGCAAACCTTAATTCACTATGCATGGGAACACCAAACCAGATACTGCGTTGAATCCAGGCACAATGTCAGCTATGAGTGAGTGGTTCTGGTACAAAGTAGAAATATAATGGGAAGACACTTGCAGAAATACTTGAAGTTATAACTGTACCTTACATTCATAAAAAGAATTGCCCCCATTTCAATCCTAGAAAGTGTTTTATTATAAAGGTGTTGCTATACTAAAACCAACAGCTTCTCATAAAATAACACCCAGAAGGCAACGTCCATGATGAAAATCAGATATTCAGAATTCATGTTAATCTACAAGTACTGCAAATTAGTGAAATACTTATATTACACAATACCCTCAAAACAGAACATATTAACTACATGCACGTAACTAACTCCCTGGTAGCAGAGCCCGCAGGTTCAACAGAAACACCACCAAAGCCTGCACCAGCCATGATCCTGAGTCAACTCCCATCCTACCTCCCTAAGATCCATCTTGATGTTAACCTCACATCTCTTTCTTGGACTGACCAGTGGTCATTTTCCAGATATTCCATACCAAAATTCTGTATGCACTTCTTGCTTATCCTTCCATGTATGCTACATTCCCAGCCCATCGGAACCTCCTAGATTTCACTATTCTCACTGTGGCAGGTGACCCATATGATTCACCTAGCCCATTATGAAATGTTCTAAAATCCCCACCCATTTCATCCCTCATAGGTCCAAATATCTTCCTGATCACCATTTTCAAACACTTGTAATCTACATTCTTCCTTCAATGTAAGACAAGAAAAATTATTGTTTTTTGTATCCTGACCTTCAGTGTTTTGGATAACAGTTTTTGACTTGAATAAAAATAAGCGTTCCCCGAGTGTATTCTACTCTTAATTTCACCATGGACCCCATATACTTGTTATTGTTGGTCCCAGATACTTAAATTTTGAAACATTTTCAAATGATGTGTTACTCATAATTATGTTCTGCCATTGTTGATGATGTTGATACCGTATTATGCCCATGTATTTAGTTTTGTCCAAATTTACTTCTAGGCATATTTCCCTGTTAGCATGCAGGAGAGTTTCCACATTCTTGGTTCTGGTACCCACACCATCCCCCAGCAAACTGACATCACCATAGGCAAGTACCTGGTGCACACCATTTAATTTGAGCCCTTCCTAATGACATGTCCTAGAGCAAAATTAGAAACCATTGGGGACAGAGCATCCCCGTTTTAGGCCACTGTGCACTGGGAATGGATCTGACAGAAGATTACCTACATGAGCTCTACTAGATACCCATCCACACACATTGGATGGGTTGGTGCTCAAATGCACACTAGAATAAGGCCAACAAATCTGCCATTTTGCCATTACTGACACTGATACAAATGTAACAACATCAAAATGGAATATATATGCGTCCATCCACATTCCATGTAGCAGCCTGATGCTCATTGTACTGGTACCCTCAGACTTGTCAAAAGGTCAAGTACTTAGTCAATTAAATGATTAACTTCCCCAAAGTTTGGAAACACACTGATACAATTCACTTATATCATCGATTACATCCCTTATCAACATCATTAACTCATATGCATTATTAAATTTACACCTCTTCTGTGTCGCTTCCACCATTTGGGGGGGGGGGGACGTTTCAGAAGTTACATAATGTTTTCATCATCAGGCAGGTCTGCAACAAAAGACGCACCACTTCCAATAACTTTTTATTACACATAGAACACCCTACAAGGATCATTATACATATTAAGAAAAAAGTGTTCTGCAATGTTCATTTTTTAATGTAAGTTAATCTCAGACACAACAGAGAGCACTACATATGTAGCAAAATGATTACTTTTGTGTTTTAACATTTCATCCTTCAATCGCAGACACAATGCTTAGCATGGTAATTATATCTAAACATTTTAACAAAATAAAATGACACATATTATGGTCATAAGCCTTTCATGTACTACATGAAGATTGTTAGAACTGACCAAAACACGCAGCAGTCAAAATATACATTGCAAAAAACAAAAGTGCATAGACAGATGTTTACACAGTAGAATGTCCTAAATGAAGACAGGGATTACAGATTAGCCACTACTGTCATCATCCAGGAACAAAAATTACCTCCATCTTAATTGACAGAACAGCTAGAACTTCACACTTGCATCTGACAACAGAAGCACAGCCTGGCTTCGAAGATGTGTTTTATACAAAAATGAGATGTCGAAAGAAGTCCAAAATATGTATCACTTTAGTAACACAATCCCATCACAAACATTTATTGAAGAGCATGTAGACATTCACTTAAAGTCTACTACACACCCTCAGTATTAAAAAGGCATGAAGCTGTACAGTCTACTGACTGCAGTCAACAGCTGAAATGGTGATTCCAAATGTAAGTGTTGGGACAGAATATTGGCAGTCTATTCAAAATTCAGAGAACTAGGAAAAATTAACGTAGTCTGTCGTCATGTAACACCAAGCAGTACCAAAATTGTACAAGCAATAGTAAACCTGCAACGTTCTGGAATGCAGAAGATAAATTCCACAGTCTGCTATAAGCTAAAGCTTGCACGTGATAAAATGCTTTTTCATCCATGGTCATGATGCTATAACAATCATCAGATTCAATTAGGGTTTTTGTTCAACTACAGGAAACACTACATACTTATTGTATGCATGATATCTTACTTGGAATAGAGCCTTTCCCTTCCCAGGATAGGCATCAGTAATGTCTTCCTTCCACTTGAGAAACGCATCTTCCTCAACAATCTCCAAGTCATAGAGATTCACAAACCATCGTAGCAGCATGCCTGCAATAGAAACAACTCACATATTCCACAACCAAACAAGATAACCAACACTACAACCATCTTCAAATGTAGCTTAGAAAGCAATTCAAAAACAACAGCATAATTATTCCAACAATAAAAAAAAATTGTTGCATGGAGGCAAAGACTGTGACAGTATACATGCTTCACTCTAACTAACTAACTAACTAGATGGCTTACCGAACCCGAAGGTTCATCACCGAATTAACCAAAGCCCTCCACCGGACCCTGTCCTGGGCCAACAAAATCCAGTTTCCTTCAACTCCTATCTCCCATAGATCCCGCCTGAGATTATCCTCCCATCTTCGTCTAGGTCTCCCCAGCGGTCTCTTCCCTTCAGGTTTCCCAACCAGTACCCGGTGCACACCTCTTGTCCCATCCATGCGCGCTACATGTCCCGCCCATCTCACTCTTCTCGACTTAATCACCCTCACAATACTGGGGGAGCAGTACAGATTTTTAAGCTCGTCATTGTGCAGTTTTCTCCACGCCCCATCGTCTTCCCTCTTAGGCCCAAATATCCTCCTCAACACCCGATTCTCAAACACCTGCAATCTGTGTTCCTCCCTCTGAGTGAGAGACCATGTTTCGCACCCATACAAAACAACAGGCAAGATTATTGTTTTGTATACTTTAATTTTCAGGTTCTTAGAAATCAGACGGGAAGACAAAATATTTTGGACTGAGAAGTAGCAAGCATTTCCGGAATTTAGTCTCCTCCTAACTTCCTCACAAGTATCATTTTGATTTGTTATTGTTGTTCCCAAATATTTGAACTTTGTAACCCTTTCAAAGGATTTATTAGCTACCCTAAGATAATTTTGCCCGCCTGTCTTCTGATGACGAGATACTAACATGTACTTAGTTTTTTCTGAATTTACTTCCAGCCCCACTTGTCTACCAGCCTCTAGTAAAACTTCTGCGTTCCTCTTTATTGTATTTATATCGTCCCCCAATAAATTAACATCATCAGCATATGCCAATAGCTGATGTGTCCCGTTCAATTGCAAACCCTCCTGCCTACCTTGGACCTTCCTGATGGCGTATTCTAGCGCAAAGTTAAAGAGCAAGGGAGACAAAGCATCTCCTTGTTTTAGACCGTTCTTGATGAGGAATGTCTCAGATACATATTTACCTACTCGAATTTTGCTGCAGGTTTCATTTAAGCACATTTTTATTAGACCCACTAGCTTCTTTGGTATACCAAATTCAATAAGAATATTATATAGCACTTCTCTCTTCACAGAGTCATAGGCTTTTTTGAAATCTATAAATAACTGATGTACAGTCCCACCGAACTCCCATTTTTTCTCTAGTATCTGACGAATGCAAAAGATCTGATCAATCGTTGATCTGTTTCGTCTGAACCCACACTGATGATCCCCAATAGTTTCATTCGCATATGGGGTTAATCTTGCCAAAAGAATGTTGGATAGAATTTTGTATGAGGTTGATAGCAGCGATATTCCTCGGTAATTACCACACTCAGTCTTGTCCCCCTTCTTATAAATAGGAATAATTATGGATTCCTTCCATTGATGTGGCATCTCTTCCTTATCCCAAATTAACTGAATAAGCTTATGGATCCTCATATGCAACCCTTTGCCACCTGCTTTAATTAATTCGGCCGGAATCTGATCAATTCCTGGAGATTTATAACTTTTCAACTTCCCAATGGCTAGTTCCACTTCATCTAAGCTAGGTTCTGGGACCAACAGTTCAGCTGTATGCATTTTAATCTGTCTAATATCACCAGTATTATGAACATTTAAGAGCTCGCTAAAGAAATTTTTCCACCTATTCACAATTTTTATTGGATCTGCAAGCAAATTGCCACTATCATCCTTTACCAAATTAGTCTGGGGTTGATATCCTTTCTTAAAGTTATTCATGCCTCTGTACAGGTCTCTGATGTTTTTTTCTTTATTATTTGTATGAAGTTCAGCAATTTTGCCCTTCAGGTATTCCCTTTTCTTAGTCCTAAAGGTTCTACTAGCCTCACGTCTCACGTTACATAGATTATCCGCATTTGTTTTGTTTGGGTTCTGCAACCATTGAAATTTTTTTTGCTTCCTTCGATCTATTAATTTTGAACATTCTTCATCAAACCACGGTTTGTTTTGCTTTCTCCTGTAGTATCCTAGTTTCTCTTTTGCTGAAATTTTGATGCAGTTTCTGACATTTTCCCACTCCCTGTTGATGTCCACACTTTCATTATCCTCATTTGTCTCTAAAATTTGAAACCTATTCGAAATTTCAACTTGATATTGTTCCTTTGCCTCTCCCTCACTTAATTTTTTCAAATCAAATCTTTCTGTGTCATTCACTCTAGCCACTTTTAGTAACCTATTATTACTACAAGCCAAGAAGTTGCGCCATCCCTACCAAGATTCAAACTCAACTAATTATAATAAGGGGAAAAGAAAAAAGATGTAGTGACAATACTCGCACCCACAAAAAAGGTCAAGTTTCTACTATTTTATTAACAACCATCTTCAAAGCAGGTGCAGCTGGGCAGGTCCATGGACCAGACCGCAGCTTCTTTTCCCAAGATAGAATCTGCACTTCCTACTTTAAGTGGGCAGTAGATTCAAAATCCAGGTTACGTATAAACCGATCACAGCCGACAACTGATATCGATGGAAATTTCCACTGAGGGTGCTTTCATTTGCCTCATCTCCTTTAACCCTCAGACGTGGTTTTACGTGTACACACGCGGGCATTTAAATTAAAGTTCTTGTGGATTTACGTATAAACACGCGAGCCTCAAAGCCTAATTTAAAACGCCCATAAGTATGGAATAAATAACGCCAGCGCGATGAGGTTTGTTCTCGCCTGTTGTGGAAATAAAGCTCTATGTGTATACATGTGGCAACAGGGTTACATTCCAATGACCTGCAAGGGAGAGTCTAAAAATAAACGCCTGACCTGGTAGTTTACAATGGCTTTCTCTTCGACAAGTCGACCCTTGACGGAGCTTGAAGAAATACAAGTTTTAAATGAAGTTTTAGAAGATGATAGTATAAGTGAATATAGTTCGGACGATGATAGTGTATTTGACATTGATTATACACAGTTTGACACCGGGAACTGTCGTGTTTAGCGATAGTGATTGTGATAATGGTAGACGTGGTCGACAGGAC